CTGAAATTTCTGCAGATGAACGGCTACGCGGTCACTAGGCACGCAGGCTGCCAGCCCTGCCAGAGCGCGGCAGGAACCCGCCGGCCTTGGCTGGGGGAGGCGGGGCCAGAGAGGGAGGAGGCTAGGAGGGGCGGAGCCTAGGACGGTGGGTGGGCCAGAGAGGGGAAGAAGCTAGGACGGGCCGGGCCTGGGCAGACGCGGGGCCATAGGGAGAGAGGCTCGGAGGGGCGGGGCCTGGGTGGGGGCGGGGCCAGAGGGGAGTTGGCTGAGGGGCGGGGCCTGAGGAGCAGGGGCGGGCTCAGAGTGGAGCATGGACCTGCGGTGAGGCAGAAGCCGGTAGGGGCTGCACTGATGGACCCAGAAGAGCGGGAAACAGGGTGGGCTTGTGCCCGGGCTGACCCCTCTCTCTGCGTCTCCACGTAGAGGCCTTAAGGACATGGAGCTGGACTCATCGTCCATTGAGAAGCGGTTCGCCTTCGGCTTCTTGCAGCAGTTGCTGCGCTGGATGGACATTTCTCAGGAGTTCATCGCCCACCTGGGTACGGAGCATTCCCTCCCTGGTCCTGATGCCCACTTCACCTGCGGAAACCAGTTCATGCATTTCTCCCTCCTCCCCTTATCTGATATTTATTGAGCCTCTATTATGCACCAGACACTTCTAGGTGCGGGGGGATACCTCTAGGTGCGGGGGATACCGCAGTGAAGGTCACAAAGACGCCTGCCCTCCTGCTACTGCATCCCTGTGGTGGATTCAGACAATTAACATAATAAATAACTAAATTGTTTAGTATATTAGAGGATGGTGAGTGTTATAGGAAGAAGAAAACAGTAGAGCCAATTAAGGGGGATTGGGATTGCGGAGCCAGCTGTAATTTTAAATAGGGCAAGAATGTCACATCTGAGGCCAGACATGAAAGAGGCGAGGGAGGAGCGGTGCGGACATCTGGGGGACATCTCTTCCTTCCACAGGTGAAGGAACAGCAAGTGCAAAGGCCCTGAGAGGTCCCTGGTATGAGCATTAAGATGCCCTGTGGCTGAGGCAGAGTGATGGAGGGGGACAGTGAGGGGGAAAGGGGCCAGAGAGGTGACAGGGGCAGATCACACAGGGCTTTGCAGGCTGTGGTGAGGAGTTTGTCTTTTACCTGGAGTGAGATGGAGCCATGGGTGGGATGTGATCCGATTCAGGTATTCACAGGGTCCCTCTGGCTTGACTGGAGTGGGGGCAGGAGCGGAGAAGGGTGAGAACTGGGAAGATTTGGGGTCCATTTGGAAGGTGCAGGCTGTTGGGATGGCCCCCCATGCCTTTTTTTTTTTTTTGAGACAGTCTCGCTTTGTTGCCCAGGCTAGAGTGAGTGCCGTGGCGTCAGCCTAGCTCACAGCAACCTCCAACTCCTGGGGTCAAGCAATCCTCCTGCCTCAGCCTCCCGAGTAGCTGGGACTACAGGCATGCGCCACCATGCCCAGCTAATTTTTCCTATATGTATTAGTTGGCCAATTAATTTGTTTGTATTTATAGTAGAGATGGGGTCTCACTCTTGTTCAGGCTGGTTTCGAACTCCTGACCTTGGGCAATCCGCCCACCTTGGCCTCCCAGAGTGCTGGGATTACCGGCATGAGCTACGGCACCCGGCCCCAATGCCTTTTATATACCACTAAGAATTACAGCTGGGCCCCTACAATCCCCTCCAATTTTCCCAGGAACCCCCAGAATTCCCCTTGAGAGCCACCCCAGGAGCTCCCAAATTCCCTCCAGGTGAGTGGCAAAGCAGGATGCCCTCTCACATATCTCCCCACAAAGTTCACACACTGGGCCTCTGAGCTGCGCACCCCCTTGGCAATTTCCTGCCCCTTGGAACCTGTTTCCTCTTCTGTGATATGGGGGTACTGCTCACCATAACAAGCCATGGTTCTGTCACTTGCTGGGTGACCAGGGGTGAGTTTTTCACCTGAGTTTCCTCATCTGAATGGGGGAAGGGGACTGACTATATAGACCTCCAAGTTGGGAGGTGGCTGTGCATGCATGACATTTCTCACAGTGCCAGGGACAGCAAGCATTGAATAACTAGAGCCAATATTTTTTTTTTTTTTTTTTTTTTGAGACAGAGTCTCACTTTGTTGCCCAGGCTAGAGTGAGTGCCGTGGCGTCAGCCTGGCTCACAGCAACCTCAATCTCCGGGGCTCAGCGATCCTACTGCCTCAGCCTCCCGAGTAGCTGGGACTACAGGCATGCGCCACCATGCCCGGCTAATTTTTTGTATATATATTTTTAGTTGGTCAATTAATTTATTTCTATTTTTGGTAGAGACGGGGTCTCACTCAGGCTGGTTTCGAACTCCGGACCTTGAGCAATCCGCCCGCCTCGGCCTCCCAAAGTGCTAGGATTACAGGCGTGAGCCACCGCGCCCGGCCTAGAGCCAATATTATTATTTTAATAGTATTAATTGTTATTATCATCATTATTATTGTCTGAAATTGACTTCCATTTTAAAACTGACTCTAGTCTGTTTATATTGACTTCTTGTTTCATTTGGTTCATTCAATATTTATCCCAGATTTACTCAGTGCCAAGTATTGAAATTGAGAAAGAAAAGGGCTTGTGATGATTGAGGAGGGGGATGTTCCATGACTTAACACATTCCAGTTTGTTCTCCCCATTGTCAGCTTCAGGAAGGGTTTGATCAAGAAGTTAGGAGGATTGAATGAAAGGTAGGAGAGAAGGTTTATCTCAAAGTCAACAGAGGTGAGTTTATACCAAGAATTTAACTGCCATCATTTCTTAACTGTTCCCCCAGAGTCCCTCCCATCAGAACACGATGGGTTCCCCAGCCTTGAACCCACCATGACCCCTGTTTCCCCTCCCCCACAGAGGCTGTGGTCAGCAGTGGACGAGTGGAAAAGTCCCCACATGAACAGGAGATTAAATTCTTTGCCAAGGTGAGAGGTGGGCTCAGAAGGTGGAGGGGGCTGGGGACTGGTGGGCTTTCCCCACCCCTCACCCAGCCCCCTTCTCTTCTCCCCCCATCTCCAGATCCTGCTCCCTTTGATCAACCAGTACTTCACCAACCACTGCCTCTATTTCCTGTCTACACCGGCCAAAGTGCTGGGCAGTGGTGGCCACGCCTCCAACAAGGAGAAGGAAATGATCACCAGGTGGGCCACCTGTGACCTCTGACCCAGCCCCCGGGACCCCTTGCTCCCAGCCTTGGCCCTTAGGGGCTCTGAGCTGGGTGCTGGGGACTGAGCACTCTACCTGCAGAGGTGTTGAAGGGCTAGGGTGCCCAACCATCCTGGCTTGCCTGGGACCGAGGGGTTGCCCAGGACGTGGGGCTCTTAGGCAAACTGGGACAAGTTGGTCACCCTGTCAGAAAGGCTGACACCCCTGCCCAGCATCCCAGTTCCCGCCTGTGACTCGCCTGCTCGCGCATCTCTCTGCCCTGTCCCCACCCCTCCTGGTTCTGTCTTCTGTCCCTCTCTCCCCGTCACCTCTGTCCCTACCACTCACTGGGGCACCACTGCCCTGACCCCCTTGGCCTCCTCACCCCCTGTCCCCCATCCTCTGCCCCCTTCTCTTTCCTCAGCCTCTTCTGCAAACTTGCCGCTCTTGTCCGCCACCGAGTCTCTCTCTTTGGTAAGTGGCCGCGGTCTCTGAGCCTTTCTCCGAATCTTCTCTCCCTTCCTCTCATTGCCAACCCCACCCTGGTGAGAAGCCCAGGCAGGGGTGGGCATTGTCCCCAAGGCCTTTGCTTCCCCTGGTCCGTCTTCCTCTCCCAGGGACGGACGCCCCTGCTGTGGTCAACTGTCTTCACATCCTGGCTCGCTCCCTGGATGCCAGGTAGGGCCACGGACTGCGGCGCCCACTCCCACGCTCATCGGGCCCCCGCCCCTGGCCTCCTAGACTCTCTGAAGTCTCAGATTCTAGAACTGGGGTTCCACCGCCTCCCTCCTAGGACGGTGATGAAGTCAGGCCCCGAGATCGTGAAGGCTGGCCTCCGCTCCTTCTTCGAGAGCGCCTCGGAGGACATCGAGAAGATGGTGGAGAACCTGCGGCTGGGCAAGGTGTCGCAGGCGCGCACCCAGGTGAAGGGCGTGGGCCAGAACCTCACCTACACCACGGTGGCGCTGCTGCCGGTCCTCACCACCCTCTTCCAGCACATCGCCCAGCACCAGTTCGGCGACGACGTCATCCGTAAGGACCCCTGACCCCGAGGGCAGGAGGAGGGTGGGGGGCCGTCACTTTGGCCAATATCACCCATTCCCGGGTGCCCGAGAGAGTCCTCCGGGTGTCTGAGTGTGTGGATTTCTTGCTGTAAGCAAAGCATGCGGTCAGCAAAGTGGTAGGTGACAGAATGAGTTAATTAGGATGTGAGTTCAGCAGCTCTGTCAAAAGACCCAGACTCACTGTGGCTTCAACAAGATAGAAGTTTCTTTCTTTCTCACGTAACAGTCTACTTTTAAGTGGACTCTAATGCCAAAAGCCCAGCCTTCCCTGAAATACTGCATTTATCCACATGGTCAAGGTGGGTCATTTCATCCTTTTAGCCCATAGGAGAGGAGAAAAATCAAAGAGGAGGGCACTTCAGTTCTTTCCCAGGACAACCTAGAAGTGGCTCCTATCACTTCTGCTTATAGCATATTGGCCCATTGAGCACGTGGCCACAAGTCACTGCAGATAGGTTGGGAAAGTAGCCTTTATTCTGGGAGTCATGTCTTGAACTAAATATTGGAGGCTGGGTGTGGTGGCTCACGCCTATAATCCTAGCACTCTGGGAGCCCAAGGAAGGAGGATTGCTTGAGGTCAGGAGTTCGAGACCAGCCTGAGCAAGAGTGCTACTAAAATAGCAAAAATTAGCCGGGCCTGGTGGTGCACACCTGTATCCCAGCCACTCAGGAGGCTGAGGCAGGAGGATCACTGGAGCCCAGGATCTTGAGGTTGCTGTGAGCTAGGCTGATGCCATGGCACTCTAGCCCAGGCGACAGAACAAAATTCTATCTCAAAATAATAACAATAATAATTGTAGGTTTATTTCTAGAAAGAAGGAAAGAACAGGGAGAAGGTAACAGCAGATCTTGGGGTCAACTAGTAGTGTCTGCCATGTTCTTCCTCCATATGACACCTGTGGAGTGTGGTGCGGCTGGGATGTTGTCACACAGGTCACATGGTACAGGAGTGTGTATCCTATGGGGCCTGTTGATGAGACACAGGAAACATGAAACACCCAGCAGAATGCCATGCTGTGGTGTGGACAGGTCCTCTAGGAGCCTTCTAAGGTGTGGCCTGGACCCCGGTGGAGCCCAGCGAGGGGCAGGAGGCCCAGAAGATGGGCCGTGGAAAGGAGGGGTCCAGAGTGGGGCCTGGAGACAGTGGGGTCTCCATGAGGCACAGAGTGGAAGAAGTAGGGAGTTGGGGGGAGATGCCGAGGTGAGTTGGGGACACCCAGGGGCAGGTGTCCAGGCTGGGCTGTTGGGCTGATGGGACTGAGCGATAGTGGAACTTGGAACTGGGTCTGAAGCTCACTGTTTATTTGAAATTAGAATCTTTTGATAAAAGTAAGAAAGTGGCACTTGAATAAGGTTCTTCCCCTGTCCAGTCTTTCATTTTGAAAATTTAAAAATATAAGAGAAATCAAAAGAACTGTTAACAATTTTGCCCCCCCCCCTATTTTTTTCACCTTTTACTTTACAGGTGAAAGTATTTACACACTTCTTTGTTGAGCTTTTGAGTGTAAGTTGCAGGCACGGGGGTAGCTATCCCTCAGCTGTCCGCCTGCGTCCCCTAGAATAAGAACCTTCTCTCATGGAACCGCAAAATCATCATCACACCTAACCTATTTAAATTTCCCTTGTTACCCACAAAATGTCTTTGATTTTTTAAAAAACTTCAGAATCCAGTCAGGTTGCTCCCATGGCATTGGGTCTCTGTAGTGTCTTTTATCTAGAACAGCCCAGGGCTTCTTTTTGCCCATGACATTGGCAAAATCAATGAGGCTTTTACCTTGACTGTCTGGGAGCTATTCGGATAACCTGAGATTATAGTAATAGTTGGGAGGGCAGAATTGTTTGCACTTTTCTAGAGAGAGTGCCCGTGGCTTTCATCAGAGAGAGAGAGATCCACCACTCCTGTGCAAGAAAACAACAATTGAGCACCTGCTGTGTGCCCTGTTCTGCTTTCCAGATATTAACTCATTTGATCCTCACAGCCGCCTTGTGAGAAAGCTACCACAATTATCCCCATTTTACAGAGAGGGAAACTGAGGCTAAGAGGGAGTTGGTACTTACTCAAGCCACCAATCTAGTACATGGCAGGCTGGCCCTACCGCTGCTGCCCTTACTCACTGCACGGGCCTATTTGGAGACAAGCGGGGTGGTGGGAGAGGACTGGTCTGGGGGGCACGGCCCAGACCCCCGCCCTCCCTGTCTCCTCAGTGGACGATGTCCAGGTCTCTTGCTACAGAACGCTGTGCAGTATCTACTCTCTGGGAACCACCAGGAACGCTTACGTGGAAAAGTAAGGAGAGGGGGCCTTAGTTTGGGGCTCGGTGGGGACCGTGGGGCTGGGAGGGAAGGGAGGGGCTGGGGAAGAGGACGCAGGTGGGGCAAGAGCAGGGCAGGTGTTCGGGATCTTCAACAACGGGCCGGTACGCCGCGGCAGCTGCAGTTCCTCGAGGCGGCCACGTGAGGGCGCTCGGGGAAGGCCAGCCGCGGGGGCGGGGCCGGCTGGGAGCGAGACACCTGCTGGCCGGGCCGCCAGGTTGCCTGTGGCCAGGGAACCCGTTTGGGGGACTCACAGAAACGCGGGCAGCACACAGCAGCCACGGAGCGCTGGGGAGCGTCGCCCATGTGACCTCCCCGGAGCCGGGGTTACTGACAGAGCCAGTAACTGCAAGGGAAACCGCGTGCACTGGCGCAGAAGTTTTCAGGGCGCACCTGTGGACGGCAGCTCTGCCCCGAAGGGTCCTGGGGAGGGGGAGGCGCTGCTATGGGGACCCAGGACCCCGACGAGGGGGAGCTAAGCGACGAGGGGGAGCTAAGCGCAGTCCCCTCTTGCAGGCTGCGGCCGGCCCTCGGGGAGTGCCTGGCCCGCCTGGCCGCGGCCATGCCCGTGGCGTTCCTGGAGCCGCAGCTGAACGAGTACAACGCCTGCTCCGTCTACACCACCAAGTCTCCCCGCGAGCGGGCCAGTAAGCCGTGGGCGCGGGGCGGCGGCGGGGTGGGGCGGAGGGCCGTGTTCTGCGGGGGGGGGGGGGGCCTTTTGGGGGGGGGGGGGGGGGCCTTTTCGGGGCAGTGGGGCCAGGTCTGGGGTGGGAGGGGCTGAGGATCCCCCAGGCTGGGGGCGCCGCACGTTCGGGAGCCCCAGAGTTTGCGGGGTCCCTGGTGTGCAGTATGGGGACAGTTAAAGACTTATATGAGGAGCATTAGGAGGTCAGGGATGAAAGTCGGAACTTTGGGGTTTATTTTAATGATGTGACATTTAAGAACATCAAGCTTGGGGACAGAGGGGCTTTCTAGCACCCTTGCATTTGGGGAGAGGGGCATTTGAGTGAGGGAGGATTGAGGGAAAGCATGGATCCATCCATCCACTCATCCATTCGTTCGACAAATAATCGCTGAGCACCTACTGTGTGTGAGTCCTAGGACCTACTGTGTGCGATGCATTGTCCTAGGCACATGATGTTCAGCAGCAAAAAGACAAAAGTCCCTGGAGCTCTCAGTCCAGAGGTTAGAATGCCATGTGGATCTCAGGGATATATAAGCTCCAGGGCAGGAAACTTGTGTTTTTGGTCAGCTGTGCTCCCAACGCTCGGGACAGCACCTGGCCGAGAGTCAGCAAGTGATGAATTGTGTGTTTCAAGGGACCGCCTCGGGGGGTGGGATTGAGAGAGATGAGACTGGGGGCAGAGTATGCTGCATGGCAGGGGTGGGGCATGGGGTGGGGATTGCGAGATGTTAGGAGCAATGGTTCCTAGGAGTAAGACTGGAAATTGAGAGAGATTTTAGGGCGCAGACAGGTGTGGGGATGTGCAGCGTTTGGGGACTACTGAGTTTCAGCGTGAGGGCTGGGAGAGGTAGTTGGCTGGGAGGGTGAGATCTCAGGAATAGGGTCTGGGGGAAATAGGTTAGGCGGGTGGCAATTCAGTGGTGTGTCACATGTTGTCAGGGAGGTCAGGGCTCTGCAGTCTGGGGGTGATGGGTTGGCATGTCCTGACCTCTCCCTGCACCCCAGTCCTGGGGCTCCCCAACAGCGTGGAAGAGATGTGTCCTGACATCCCAGTGCTGGAGCGGCTCATGGCAGACATTGGGGGGCTGGCCGAGTCGGGGGCCCGCTACACAGAGATGCCACATGTCATCGAGATCACACTGCCCATGCTGTGCAGCTACCTGCCCCGCTGGTGGGAGCGCGGGCCCGAGGCACCCCCTCCCACCGCTGGCGCCCCGCCACCCTGCACGGCTGTCACCTCCGACCACCTCAACTCCCTATTGGGGAACATCCTGCGGATCATCGTCAACAACCTGGGCATTGACGAGGCCTCGTGGATGAAGCGGCTCGCTGGTGGGTCTGGGGGTGGGCCGGTGGCCTGGGGTCCCTTGGCCAGATGGTCTGAGAGGGAGATCGGGGGCTCCATGGTCTCCTGGGAGTTGGGAGGAGTCAGGGTTTAGGTGTTCTCAGGGTCAAAAGGCCAGGCTCGGAATCTCAGGATCAGAGGGTCTGGGGTGGGTGAGTGGGTCCCGGGGTCCTCCAGGCTGAATTCTGAATTTCTGGAGCCTTGGAGAGAGTTAGATCAGGGGTCAGGAGCTGAGTCAGAAGCCTGAGTTCCTCATACGAAGGATCAGAGGTCAGGTCAGGTGTCAGGGTTCCTGATACGGACAGTTAGGGTTCTAGGTCAGAAGTTAAGAAATGGGTCCCTAAAGTGTTGTGATTCCTGGTTCGGGAGTTCTATGTCAGCAGTCAGGTTTTGGATTAAGGTCAAGTTAGAGATGGGGGCTGGAATCGGAGGCTGCGATAAGAAGCTGGGGGTCATAGTCAGAAATCATAGTGCGGTAAGAGCCTGGGTACGGGCCGGGTCAGAGGCTGAAGGTTGGGGTCAGTGGTCATGCTGGGTAAGGGGAAGATATCAGGTAAAGATTCAGTTCTTGGGGGTCAGAGGTCAAGGACTTGTGCCAGGCTGGGGTGACAGGATGGGGACTGAGTGTTGTTAGGTTTAGGCCAGGGGTTACAGTTGGGATCAGTGTTCAGGGACTACGTCCAAGGTCAGGGTCAGGCTGGGGTCAGATGATAGCTGCTGGGTCAGAGGTACAGGTCAGGAGTCACGGGCTGGGAACAGAGGTCAGGGGCTGTGTCAGAGCTCAGAGGTGGGACCTGAGGTCAGAGGTCAGGTGCTGTTGTTGGGGCCGGCCTGCCGTGAGCGCCCACACTGCCCGCTGTGCCCCGCAGTGTTCGCCCAGCCCATCGTGAGCCGGGCGCGGCCGGAGCTGCTGCACTCGCACTTCATCCCCACCATCGGGCGGCTGCGCAAGCGCGCGGGCAAGGTGGTGGCCGAGGAGGAGCAGCTGCGCCTGGAGGCCAAGGCCGAAGCCGAGGAGATGCTGGTGCGGGATGAGTTCTCCGTGCTGTGCCGGGACCTGTACGCCCTGTACCCGCTGCTCATCCGCTACGTGGACAACAACAGGTGGGCACCTGCCCCTCGGTCCCCCACTGCGACCCGACCTCCCTGAGCCCTGCACGACCCTCCTCCTGCCCCGCTATGGCTCCTCCCAGTTCCCTCCCAGCCCCACCCAGCCTCGCCCTCCCTCTGCATCCCTTCTGCCTGTTACTAACCCAAAAAGGGGTCCCGGGTAGGTCCCTCCCTCGCTGCACAAAGAGCCAATCATTAAGACAACGAAGATTGCTGAGGGAGAAAGGGTTTAATGCAAAAGACATCTGGTGGGAGACATAGTCTCTAATCCATGTCCCTGACCAAGAGCAAGGGATTCATGGTGGCTTGGGGAAGGCGGCAGGGTTGCGTGAGGTTCGAGGTCACAGGGTCTTCAGGTGGTCTCATTCGAGAATCAGCTGCTGGCGGTGGGTGGTGAGTCCTAGGAGAGGCTAGTTTCAATTAAAAGGTTAGAGAAAGAAAAAAAATGTTTAAAGGAATATCTTTAAAAAATTTAAATGTTCATCCAAATGGCCAGATTACCTAGAAAACTCTATCCCTCCAACTGGATGTCCCCTGGTCCCCCATCCTGTCTCTCTGCAATGTCCCTGTGTGGCCCCTGCCCTGGGATCCCCACCCCATCCCTCACCACCCGTCCCCTGCCCAGGGCACAGTGGCTGACGGAGCCCAACCCCAGCGCGGAGGAGCTGTTCAGGATGGTGGGCGAGATCTTCATCTACTGGTCCAAGTCCCACGTGAGTGTCCCCGAGCCCCCCCCCTCCATGGCAGAGGAGCCGCTGCCCACAGGTGCCCCCCTCACCCATCTGTCCCCAACCCTGCCTCCCACACCAGAATTTCAAGCGAGAGGAGCAGAACTTTGTGGTCCAGAATGAAATCAACAACATGTCCTTTCTGACTGCTGACAACAAGAGCAAAATGGCCAAGGTAGGCACTTGGGTCTGGGAGGAGCACTTTGCAGGGAGGGAGGGAGCACCCTCCAGGGCTTGCTACCTGACCCCTCCTCACCCAGCCTGCCCTGTCTGGTCACATTCCCTGCAGCCCTCATAGCAGCCCCTGTCACCCCATCTCCCTCTTCTCTCATCTCTATTTCCTCCTATTCCTCTGCCTCTCTTCCTCCCGTCTCCCTCCTCCCCATGCTGCTCCCCCCACCATCTTCCATCTCCCATCTCTGTCCCTGTCTCCCCATTATCCCATATACCCCTTTTGCACTCTCTTGTCCTTCTCAGAACTACCCTCTGCAGGGTCTAAAGAACAAACCCACCTACCTCTGTCCAAATGCCCAGCTAGGGCGCGAGTGGCAGGGGGCGAGGGGAGGGCGGGGGGAGCTGGGTGCCGCCTACTTGGAGTTGGGCCTGGGCTTCTCTGTGGGGCCGGGGTAACCCTTCTTGTCTCTGTCTGCGATCCGCTGAAGCAGGCCGGAGATGTACAGGTCAGCCCCACGTCTGGGACCTTCCGCATGGCTCTTGGCTAATGCCCTCTTGCCCCCAAACCCCCAGCCTCTGCACCCCCCAGAAAGCCCCTGTCCCTGTTCCCTACCCCTGTCCTGGCTCCCAGTCCCCACCCTCCCTTCCTCCCTTCCCGCCAACCCTCCATTCCCATCCCAACCCTCAGCTTTTGGCAATTTGACATTTTTTTTTTTTTTTTACTTTTGTAAAAAAAAAAAAAAAAAAAAAAGCAGCAACTCAGCTTTCCCAAAGCATCGTGGGCTGAGGTCATGGGCAGGGTGGGAAGGCACGAGGCGCATGGTTGGGGAGGCGGCAGGCACTCCCACCAAGCGGTGGTCTAGGGCCTGAAATCAGACGGACTTGGGGTCTTGGGTTCGAATCCCGTGTTGGTAGTTAGCTGTGTGGCTTTGGTCAAATGCCACCCTTCTGAGCCTCCGACGGCCTCCAGCCCCGGGGCTCGGCGAGGACTCCGTGAGCTGCTGCATGTGCAGCCTTCGCAGCGCCTGGCACACGGGCCATGCTCGATACAGCCAGCCAGCGCGGGTGTGGCTC